ACCTCCGCCTCCAGCCTCCGAGGCCCGGACTCCGCCTCGGCCCGTAGACCCAGCGGCTCCCCGCCTCGGCTCCTAGCTCCCTCACCTCCACCGACACCCGTCGATCCACCAGCTTCACCGGGCTCCCTCGTCCCTCCGGCTCCGCCTTGGTCGGGCGTCGACCCGCCATCGCCTCAGGACTCTGCTCCTCCGGCTGCACCTCGTCGCTCCGTCCCACCGGATCCTCCCTCCCGCCAGCTCGACCTTGATCCTCAGTCGCTCCGGCTCCGCCGCGGATCTCCGCCTCCGCCTCGGTCACCAGAACCCTCGGCTCCACCCTGGCCCCACGGCATCCCCCTGGCTTGTTGGCTCTCCGTTTCCTCCTCGGGCTCCGCCACCGGCGGCCATTACTCCTCCATGGCTCCTCCCTCCATCGGCTCCATCGTGGGTCCCCATCATGGCTGTGGCCTGGGTCCTGCTTGGCTCCTCCTGCTCCAAGTTCTTCCTGTTTCCTCCCTCCATCGTCACCTCCCTGGTCTCTGTCTGCCGGCCCCCTCCCAGGTGTCCATCCTCCTCCTGAGCCGCCTCCCAAGTTCCCACCCGTGCTCTGTTGTTCTACGGCGCGAGGACACGCCTTCCGGGAGGGGGACGATATGGTAGAATCATGGACCTGTTTTGTTATGGTTTGCCCGTTTCGGTTCCTGTGTTCCCTTATTTGGTCATGTTCCTGTCCTTGTTTAGTTAATTAGTCATTCTGTGCACCTGTGTTTGGTAATTGTCCTGTGTTTAAAAGTTATTGTCTGTGCATTTCTCCTCTGTCGGGTCTACTTGTTGGATGTTGTGTGTTTCCCGTGTTCCTGTAGTGGATTATCCCCTGTGATTCCTGGATTAAAGACTTTTGCTTGTACTCCACGTTTCTCTGTCGTTCCTCCCACATCACATCTAATTAGGACAATTACCAAACACAGGTGCACAGAATGACTGTGTTTATAAGTTCTTGTCTGTGCATTTCTCCTCTGTCAGGTCTACTTGTTGGATGTTGTGTGTTTCCCGCGTTTCTGTTGTGGATTATCCCCTGTGATTCAAGTATTAAAGACTATTGAATGTTTCTCCGCGTCTCCATCGTTCCTCCCACAGTGAATCGTGGCACTAGCCTCCTCACGTCACAGAAATCAGTTAATTCTTAGCACATAGAGACACTTTCACCTAGATATCACACTATAGAGAGTGTTTCTGTTCCCCAAACTAGAAAATACAAAAAACGTCCAAACCAATTTATAAACAAATGATAAGGTTTGGCTTAATGAATATTAGATCCCTTTCTAAAAAAAATCACTTTTTGTAAATGATATGATCACAGATCATAACCTAGATGTGCTCTGTTTGACAGAAACCTGGCTAAAACCAGATGATTACATTATTTTAAACGAGTCTACCCCACAAGATTACTGTTATAAACATGAGTCGCGTCCAAAAGGTAAAGGGGGAGGTGTTGTTTCAATTTATAACAATATTTTCAGTATTTCTCAGAGGGCGGGCTTCAAGTATAACTCGTTTGAAGTAATGATGCTTCATATAACATTATCCAGAGAAGCACATGTTAATGATAGATCCCCTGTGATGTTTGTACTGGCTACTGTATACTTACGCTTAAGGAAGATTAAGGAAAACAGTTTGACACTGTGGTATGAGCACACTCGTGCCCTCAAGAGAGCAACCCGGAATGGAGCGCAGCTGGAGGAAAACAAAACTAGTGGTATTTCGTGTTGCATGGCGGGAAAGTAACCTATCCTACAGAAAAGCATTAAAAACTGCTAGATCTGATTACTTTTTGTCTCTTTTAGAAGAAAACAAATATAACCCCAGGTATTTATTCAATACAGTGGCTAAATTAACGAAAAATAAAGCACCCACAGGCGTTAACATTTCCCAGCAGCACAGCAGTAATGACTATGAACTACTTTAATTCCAAGATGGATACTATTAGAGATAAAATTGTAACCAAGCAGCCGTCAGCTACAGTATCGCATCAGACAGTGCACTATAGATCCCCTGAGGAACAATTCCACTCATTCTCTACTATAAGAGAGGAAGAATTGTATAAACTTGTTAAATCATCTAAACCAACAACATGTATGCTAGACCCTATTCCAAGTTCCTAAAAGAGGTGTTTCCAGAAGTCATAGATCCTCTTCTGACTATTATTAATTCGTCATTGTCATTAGGATATGTCCCCAAAACCTTCAAACTGGCTGTTATTAAGCCTCTCATTAAAAAAACAGAACTTGAACCCAAAGATCTAGTTAATTACAGACTGATCTCGAATCTCCCTTTTCTGTCAAAGATACTAGAAAAGGTAGTATCCTCACAATTCCTTCTTAGAGAAAAATGGTATCTGTGAGGATTTCCAGTCGGGATTTAGACCATATCATAGTACTGAGACTGCTCTCATTAGAATTACAAATGACCTGCTCTTATCATCTAATCATGGTTGTATCTCTCTATTAGTGCTACTGGATCTTAGTGCTGCGTTCAATACTATCGACCACAACATTCTCTTGATTAGACAAAAAATTTTAGTGGAACATAAAATTTTTAGACATAAAAAATTAGTGGAAGTGCATTAGCATGGTTCAAATCATACTTATCTGACCGCCATCAATTCGTAGCAGGGAATGAAGAGGTATCATATCGATCACAAGTGCAGTATGGAGATATCATCAGGAAACATGGTGTTAGTTTTCACTGTTATGCTGATAACACTCAGCTCTATATTTCTTCGTGGCCTAGCGAAACGTACCAATTTGAAAAACTGAATGCATAGTCGATAAAAAAAAACTGGTTGACGATTAATTTCTTACTGCTAAATTCTGAAAAAAAACAGAGGTGTTAATTATCGGAACTAAAACCCTATAATATTTAAACATGTAATATGTTATAACCTAGAACACCATCTAACACTTGATGGCTGCTCTGTCAATTCTTCATCATCAGTTAGGAACCTAGGTGTGCTATTTGATAGCAATCTTTCGTTTGAAAGCCACGTTTCTAGCATTTGTATCTAAATTGCGACCTATGCTCTCAATGTCAAATGCAGGAACGTTAAAAAAAATACAAAATACAAAATTGTATGATTCAGGAGAACAATTACTCTTAACGTTTAACTAAACTCTCACCCATTGGTCAAGTTCACTTTCGCTTGTATTCTTCTCTCCACAAGAAGGGCAGAGGTCTGAAAGGTCATCTTTTGACAATGAGGAATGTGATTAATGTGTACCATACAGAATGCTTGAAAACAGGTTCACAAGGCAAAAAATATGTGCTTACTAGTTTCTTTTAAAAGTGTTATGCCAATCTGTTTCTGCATCTCCACAACCCCTCCTTCATCAACTGGAAAATCCATGCTTTCCTTCTTAAGAAGGGCCTGTGCTAACTGGTGTGAAAATACAGTTAAGTCAAGCTCTCAATTAACAACTTTAAAATAATTGACTAATTACCGACTATACTTACTTTGCAAACAAATGCACCACAGGATGTGGAATCTTGCTGAGTGGGATGAACTACTGTGTGGTTTTGCAATTTAAGTGAAAATACCTTTTTCAAGACTTTTTGGCTATCTCGCCAGATGGCTGTCATTTGATAAGAATCAATCAAATAGTCGGTGACTCCTGAGGACTTAAATCGGCATGCAAGATTGTGCAAGAAGGCATTCACAATCTGTTTGCAAGAAAACAGTCAAGTATAAACTACTGTATTATGGGGGGATAATTTAGAGAATGCATACTTAATCCTACCTCACTCTCCAACATCTTCTCTGGTGCCAGATCCATCAAGTTTCTAGTAAGTAACTTATATGGACCAATCTTGCTCCACAACACAGACTGTTTTCTGCCTTGCCAAATATCACAAATCACTATGAAAATAGAAATTTATTAGTAAAATGGATGTCAAGGAGTTAAAAATGGTTACATCACTAATGTGCACTTACCTTGCTCTTCTGGATTTGATGCTGGGGTGGTGTTTGCAGAAGATGTTAGCAGTGGCTTGTCTTCGGTTGTAGCAGAACACAAATATTTGGAGCACGTAGGGGTAGTGGGACTGTTGCTTTGTAGTGATGGTGTGATCCTCTGTGTGGAGCTGGGTGGTGCATGGCTGGGTGAAGAGACCCACTTTTTGGGATATACACTAGTCATGTATTTAAAGAGTGTTCTGTTCCTTGTTTCCTTTGTCCGGTGTCTAACGTCAATCGCCGTGCTACATGTGTGTTCCTTCCTGTGACTCTTTATTTGGTTGAATAAAGATTGTTCCCCGTGATATTCTCCTTCGTCTCCGCGCTCCTTTGTTCCTCACAGTAGCAGTCGTGACAACATCCTACACAAGAACAATTATTACAAGATTTATTTTATCTTTGTGCACAAAGTTCGTTTATTATATGTTAATCATACTTAAAGTGTATCTAGATGAAAAACTAAAAAAATTTCATTTTATGTTATTTGTGGCCTAGGTGGGATTCAAACCTCTAATTTGTGTGTATTTTACTCGTCCCACCTCCCTAGAATTTCCTTCGTTCCTATTGGCTAGTCAGCGCTCTACACTTACGTGCGACTGGCTCTTTAAGTCCATCCATCAGTAGTTATCACTACACTCTCTGCCTTTTCAGACATCCTATCACATTTGCATTAGCTTTGTGGTACAGGGCTAGAATTATGTCATGACTAAAGTTCAGGCCAGATGGGATATTGTACTTAGGCTTAAGTACCTTAACAAGTTAGTAAAATCCACATTACCGACCACATAAATTGGGTCACAAATCACTGTTCTGATCATTATTTTTATCGCTTTTTTTTTTTCAGTATATACAAACCCGTTTCTAAACCAGTAGGTAGGTTACTTGTTATAATGCACAACATAAACACATTCATGAATACTATTGTTTATTACCGTAAATTCATCTTATCTTATGAAAGGGAAGATATTTTTATATTTCCTGGTAGCTGTGGCCAGGTTTGCGTTTTATAAAGCTCAGGTGATAAGGAGGAGTGTCAAAGTGCGACTACGGAACAAAGTGACTCTACAGAGCAAACTGAAGAGAGTTTCTGGTAAAACATATTATATACTTACATTAAATTTGACTAACTTTATACAAATACCAATCTTTGCATTATGTCTGCATTTTGTTGTAGTTGGTTTTTAACTAAATGCTATTAATGAATTGATTTCTTTGATTTTGTAAAATTCTATAATTGCTGGTAAGGTACTTTTGTAAATGTCTTTGGAAAAGAGAATCTGCTAAATGTCTCGGATGTACATGTAGATTAATTGAAACATTCACTGTATTTATATAGTATGTTATCTGTTTTGAATATATATATATATATATATATATATATATATACACACACACACATATACACACACACATTTACATGTTTTGATGTACTATGATGTTTGTATAGGTAAATTTCAGATTCTGAAACAAGAATGTCTCAAACGGTCTTACCCGTGAACTCTTCAACACTCATCATCCAGATTCAACCACCAACACAAACAACACCAGCTGGGACTGGGACAAATGCTCCTGTGCCTGTTTATGTCCAACAGGTCACAGGAGTTTCTCCTCTTCATGGACTTCAGGCATTTCTGAAAGGCCATCCAAAAGCCCTTGGGGTAGGAATTTTTTTAGAAACCTTAATAGACTTTAATGTGCGTATGAAACATTACATGAATAAATTCTTAAAAAAAAAAAGAGTATGTACGTTAAAGTATACATAGCATTTTTTCATTGTACTTATTGCAAAATGTATTGCCTTGGTGATAACGCAATATAAGATGATGAAGTCCAATATAAGATGAGGTTTATTATTTACAGATTAAAATTTACAGTGTACCAGTCACATAAAAGTCACAAAGAATGTTTTAGGAGTTGCAAACTATAAAAAAATGTGAACTAATGGATACATTTTGCTCAAACGCAAATCAGTATGTGAATTCATACAATGAGATACAATGAATATTTTTTTGGAATATTTTTTTCTTGTACAATCGTAAGTCCACAACTACAGTCACCATAAATTTATATTGTACATTTTATATTGATTCCCAAAATTTGAAATGGTTTTACTTTATAAAAGACACTCTTGTACATTTTTCTTGTCCCCCACAGACTGTCCAGGTAATGATTGCTCTGTTGACTTTCCTGCTTGGAATCGTGTCTACAGTTCATGCGGAATCCATAACTGTCTTTACTGGTATTCCTTACTGGGGGTCGCTCATCGTAAGGAACAATTACAATTAAGTGATCTTTCTTTTATAAGTCAAGCTACATTTTCCAACAGAAGCCTTCATTTTTGCCTTTCTCTCTCCTCTCAGTACATTATTGCAGGCTCACTCTGCATTGCTGCCGAAAACAAACTTAATTCACCCTCCGGTTTGTGTTTGGTATGTACACAAAACATATTACTTTTAGGGGTCCAAGCTGCCCAACACTGGCAGGTGACATAATAATAATAATAATAATAATAATAATAATAATAATAATATGTATTGCATTTTTTCAGTAATGGCTAGAAACAGTTTTTCCCCCTTTATCATTAAATGTATATTTTCTGATTTTATTTCTATCTATAAAAACTCTGCTATTTTTTCACACTACAGATACTTTTCCATCTACGTTAACATGATATGTTAACAAAATGTGTTACAGCTCTTCCTAATTTATGAATGTGTTTTATGTCGTTTTTTTTCTGCCTATAGGTGAAAGGTTCACTTGGAATGAACATTTTCAGTGCTTTAACTGCAGGCATTGCAATTATTATAATTTCATTTGATTTGGCTATAGGACCAGTGTACCAAAGTTACTGCAGATATGACTGTTATGATTTAGAGGAAAGGTATAAGGTATGTCACCTTTTCCATTCACATTTATTTAGTAATTACATTAAGATGACTGTGTGGTCAGTACACTTGTCAAAAGTCAATCCTTAATTGTCAAAAGTCAATCCTTTTTTCCCCAAAAATGTCAGAAGTAGTTTATAGATCTCTTATCTTATATTTCTGATCATTTATAATGCAAGAAGGCATTGACAGTATACATTAAGCAGCCAGCATTCCCTTGTGAGTACTAATTATCAATTATTTTATTATTATTTGAGCTGATGTTGTATTTTCTCTCAGACCCTCTTCAGGGGAATCAGTAGTGTTTGGCTGATCTTTGCCTTGCTTGAGTTTATCATCTCCATCTATCTATCATCATTTGCCTGTAAAGCCACCTCCTGCTGTTATCCACAGGTGAGTAATGCATCAAGTCAACTGACTATATGGGTCATTGCTACTATTTGGTGGATTTTATGGCCATGTGAAAAATATAAATATAAAAAAAAATATGAGGGGTGTGACGATGCACTTCGCTCAAGACACGATATTGAAGTAATTATCATACACAGTTAAAGACTGAACAAAATCCAAACACTGTAAAAGTTATCACAAACTCAACTGACTGGCTTCTCTCCTATATGATTTCACATGAGTCTCTTCAGACCTTATAACTGTACATGAGCTTCTAACTTCTGATTGAAGCTGTATGTGACCTTCTAACTGAACTCCTTTCAACAAACTGAACATAAAAAATAGGACTGTCAAGTGATTCAAATTATTAATCTAATTAATCACATTACCCCCCCCCCCCCCCAAAAAAAAAATTAAAAAAATC